CATCCCAGTACATGCCCTTTTTTTTTTTTAAGCAGGGGCCAAAACGACACCATTTTGGCCCGGAGGTCACCTTCAACCTCCAGCCGGTCGTCTTGACCCGCTTCTGCAACTGGGTCGGGTCCAGACCCGATTCCCGTCTCTCCTCCTTTCTCTCGTCTCTTCTTCTCCGCCGTCCGGTGTCCCTTTTTAGTGTACTTTATATCATTTTCTTCGTTTTTTGAGCTCTTCCAATGGGATAAATTTTGAAGCCTAAAAACTTGATTTTAAGCAACCCAAAACGACAAGCGTACGGCCAAAAAATATACTGTATAAAACGATTTCACAGAGGCAGAGAAGCGACCCAATATGTCTAAACATAAATAAGACATAAAAACTATCATATTGGAAGTAAAATGGAGGATTTGCATAATTATTGAAGCAAATCACTAGTTACTCAGACCAAACAATCAGAAAAAATACTGATATGAAAACGCAGGCCACAGAATCTACAGAAAATATCACATGCTCTGATACCAATGAAGGTTTTCGGGCATACCTGGAGTCTGCAATGTAATCAGGTTGCCACGCGGAGGTCCGATCACGGTAACGGAGTCGGATCTGATAGACACAGCAAATGCACTCGAGAGAGAATTTGGAGAGACGAGGGTGAAGTCTGATGGAGGAGGAAAAACGCAAAATGCAAAACTACTGCTGCAAACTGATCCCATTGGATCAGTCTCCAAAGAGAAAACAGTTATGTAACTCCCCTCACGTTTGTTCAAATAAAACCGTCTTCTTCGTTTTAACTGTTTCCGTTTTTGGCAAAATATATGAAAGGGTGAAAATTACAGTTAAAGACCCATGAGTTTTATAATTTGCACCAAAACCCCAAAATGATACTGGGTTGGGTCCAATCCACCAAGGGTGGACTGGCCCATTTTCCTACATGGTAAGAAAACCAATGGTTCCTTTTTTTCCTGCAAATGTCCCCAGTATACCACATCGCACCCACAACACATGGAGATACAATTACTAGTAAAACAAGGATAAAACACCCTGCAACAGCCATGGCCCTATATATATCCTTGAAAACAACATCACACATAAAATCAATTCGACCAACTCAAATACTAACTATTAGAGCAAAACAAAAAAAACAAAACAAAAACAAAAAAAAAGAGGCTTTCGTTGATTCATTTCTAAAGCAAACAACTTTAATGAATACTTTTAAGTTTGGCTGAGAAGCTTACCGATGCCATAGCTGTGGCTGACGACAGCACCAATCTTTTCCCAAACAGGGAAATCTGCGTCGTTGAACGTTCGATTCAATGTGGTGACCTCCATAGCTGCGTCAAAGGACGTCCTCTTCTTCCTGGGTTAGAAAATCGCAGAGCTTGGAGGAGCAGTGGGGTAGAGAGAGAGAGTGTTGCCGGGGAAGGGTGGGAGTTGAGAGGGGGAGAGAGAGTCAGAAGATGTGAGGGAAGGGAGAGGGAAGCGAAGAAAGGAATTAGGAGAGAGTTGAGCGAGAGAAGCGGACACCTATGCATTTGGTGGGATCCACAATAAAAAAACTAACCGGTAAACAAAGTGTCCGTTTTAAAATGTTCATGACACCGAACATATTTTTTTTTATTATGATATTTTATTTTATTTCTTATATATATATATTTTAAAATAATTTTTATTATAATAATTAATAAAAATATTTTTTAAAAAATAATATTTATTTATTATAAATAATTAAGTTAAGTTTTACGTTTTATGATTCATAAATTTATCTATTTATCCTTTAAAAAGTGATCTTCATTTCTCTCCTCTGTCATGCTCCTTTTCTTTCGGGGAAAATTGTAAAAAAAATCTTAGAATTATAAAAACATAGATAGAGACTCTTGACAACTTCACTTTGAGTTTTAACAATAATAATATAAAGTGTTTTCATAATTATAATATGTTATAAAGTTGTCAAAATCTAAAATGAAATTGTCTTATCTGTGTTTTTATAATTTCAAAGTCTTTTTTTTTTATAATTTGCTCTTTCTTTTACCGCTTTCCCTGGGGCACTTCCCTCTCTTTCTATTTTTCCTTCTTTTCTTCTTCTCCGAGCACCTCATTGGCCTGGAGATTTCAAAATTTGAGTGCCCTCCCTGTACCTCTCGCGGCCTCCCTCCATTCGCAATTCATCAAATGTCCTTTGCGCCTCACTCTCTCTCACATTTCTTCATCGGATATTGCTTCACAATCGCCTTCATCTTCGCCGATGCGGGAGCTGTAAAGGGCCTCAACGATTTGTATCCATATGGTTTGAAAAGTTATCTATTTGCTGAATAATGCATTGCTATTATTGCTGTGAGGCCCAGAGGACCATGAAAGACGATGATACAATTGGTGGTGTTTAAACACCTATTTATATACACGTCTTGGGCCAAGGCCCAGTAGCAGAAGGAAAGACTCCTAATTAATCAGACTATGAAACACTAATAATACAAGGAAAAAATGACTTCTCTTAACACTCCCCCTCAAGTTTGGGGGCATACAAGTTCATGGTCCCTAACTTGCTCATAATCCTTCGATGATCCTCTCTTCCCAGTCCTTTTGTAAATATATCTGCTTGCTGGTTTACACTTCTGACATGTTGAAGACTTATGACTCCCTGCTGCAATTTTTCTCTCACAAAATGACAATCAATTTCAATGTGCTTAGTCCTTTCATGGAAAACTGGATTGCTTGCAATGTGAATAGCTGACTTGCTATCACAAAATACTTGTACAGGCTCTAAATTATTTACATTCAGATCTTTTAGCAACCTAGTGATCCAAACCACTTCAGAAACAGCACTTCCTAGGGCCCTATACTCTGCTTCAGCTGAGGATTTAGAAACAGTATTTTGTTTCTTTGATTTCCAAGACACTGGTGATCCTCCAAACTTTACAACATACCCTGTGACAGACCTTCTTGTGTCTGGACAAGTTCCCCAATCAGAGTCCACATAACATTCTAATTGACATTTCTTTGATGCAGTGAGCATAATTCCAAGCCCTAGAGTTCCTTTTAGATATCTCATCACCCTCATGGCTGCATTCATATGAGATCTTCTCGGCCCATTCATAAATTGGCTTAATCCCTGCACAGCAAAACTTATGTCAGGCCTAGTGACTGTAAGATATGACAACTTACCTATCAATCGTCGGTAAGAAGTTGGTTCAGGTAGCAAGGGATCATCCTTCTCATTCTTTGGATTACCACTTAATCTTGTGTTTCTCTCCATTGGAACAGTAAGAGGCTTTGCTGCAGTCAAACCCATGTCAGACAATATATCTAATGTATACTTTCGCTGGTTAAGTATTAGGCCCTGTTTTGATCTAGCTACCTCAATTCCTAAGAAATACCTAAGCTGTCCCAAGTCTTTAATTTTAAATTTGTTATGCAAGAACCTTTTGACTTCATTAATTTTCTCAGGTGTATTCCCTGTTATCACCAAGTCATCAACATAAACCAATATCAAGGTAGTTTCAGATTCAGTTTGCCTAATGAAAAGAGAATAATCATACATGCACTGTCTAAAACCCCCTTCTAAAAGAGCCTCAGTGAGCTTAGCATTCCATTGCCTTGATGCTTGTTTGAGACCATACAAGGATTTGGTCAACTTGCACACTTTATTCAACTCAACGTTGCCAAATCCTTGTGGGATGCTCATGTACACTTCCTCCTTCAAGTCCCCTTGAAGGAAGGCGTTGTGAACATCCATTTGAAATAGGTCCCATTCATTCATCACTGCAAGGTTAAGAACTATCCTTACTGTGACCATTTTTATAACAGGTGAGAAAGTTTCAAAATAGTCAATTCCTTCTTGTTGACTATACCCTTTTGCTACTAGTCTAGCTTTAAATCTATCTATATTACCATCAGCATTATATTTCACCTTATAGACCCATTTACATCCTATGGGTCTCTTACCCTTTGGTAAATCCACAAGTTCCCAAGTGCCATTGTCCTGTAGGGCTTTTATTTCTGCTTTCATAGCTTCAATCCATCGTTGGTCCTTAATTGCTTCTTCATAACTATAAGGCTCAACAATGCTGTCAATACTGGAAAGAACATGTTTATAATCAAGTGATACATGTGAGTAAGACAAAGAAGACTGCATAGGGTATTTTACCTTTGTTTTACCTTTGATATCTGAATCAGGTTGCTCAATAACACAGGCATAACCTACTAAAGATCTGAAAGAAGTGTCAGTAGTATAGGCATAATCTTTCATCCATGTTGGAGGCTTCCTTGCACGAGTAGGTCTACCCATATTTTCCATATTTTCAGATGGAAATTCATTCCCATTTGTTTCTGGTGAAACCTGCTCTGTATTTGTATTATGCTGCCCAATTGTTATTGGGGGTAAGTGGTCAGGTTCATATATGTGTTGTTTGTGTCTAAAAGGATCAATCATGAAATGGTTATCTCCCCCTTGATTGATACTTACAGCATCCTTAAAAGGGAATTTAGTTTCTTCAAAGGTCACATGCCTACTGATAATGATATTATGAGTCTGAATATTGTATAGCAAATACCCCTTCTGAGACCCTGGATACCCAAGAAAGACACAAGGATCTGATCTGTTTTGAAATTTATCTTGGGGTTGCAAGTTAGTGGCAAAAGCTAGGCAGCCAAAAATCTTTAATGAAAGAAGATCTGGTTGGTGGCCAAAAAGCATCTCAAAGGGTGTCTTATATCCTAATATAGTTGAGGGTGTTCTATTAATAAGATAAGTAGCAGTTTTAATGGCTTCCCCCCAAAATTTTAAAGGTACACCAGATTGAAAAAGCAAACTCCTAGCCACATTCAAAAGATGCCTATGCTTACGCTCTACCACCCCATTTTGTTGAGGTGTATAAGGGCAAGTGGTTTCATGAATGATCCCTTTAGCAGTTAGGTGTAGTTTCAACTCAGAATTAATAAATTCCAAACCATTGTCAGATCTCAGCTTCTTTATTACAGCAGAAAATTGAGTATCAACATAAGCAAGAAAATTTTTCAAATGATGAACAGATTCACTTTTATTAATCATAAGGAATGTCCAAGTACATCTGGAAAAATCATCAACAATCGTAAGAAAATACCTATGACCTTTATAGGTGGGCTCTTTATAAGGCCCCCAGACATCCACATGAATCAGATCAAAACAGCAAGAAGTTTTAGAGAAGCTAGAAGAAAATGGCAATCGAGGTTGCTTAGCCCGAGCACAAATTACACATTTGTCATTGGTGATTACAGGGACTTCCTTTCTTATCAAGTCTAAATGTCTAAGCTTATCTAAAGGGGCATGCCCCAATCTAAGATGCCAAAGGTTCTGAGTGGTAAAATTCATTACTGTATCAGTTTGTGTTATCCTTTCAATGATATAGAGTCCACTAAGGAGCCTACCAATCTTCCTTGTTTTGCCAAGAGAGATGTCCTGCAAGGTACAGTAGTGAGAATAAAAGGAAACTACAAATTCCTGACTGGCAGTTAACTTGGATACTGAAACTAAATTATAACAGCAGCCAGGTGCATAATAAACATCCTTTAAAATGATATTGTCAAGTATCTTAACTGTACCTACGTGAGTGATAAGCATTTTATTGCCATTAGGGACTTTAATTAGCCTAATTGGTCCTTTATATTCTTCTACAGTGTCAAACATTTCAGTGCTATTTACTACACGACACGTAGCGCCTGAATCTAATATCCAATGTGAATTACAAAAGGACCGAGGAAGGGCAAGAACAGCACCTGAAATAGTTTCCTCGATGCATTCAGTTGTGGTTACTGCTATGTCATCCTTTTCCTTTTGAAGAAGCTTGAGAATTTGATCATACTGCTGTTGAGTAATAGGTGTTTGAGCAGGTGATGAGGAGGTATTTATTGTGTGATCAGCAGTGGAGACTTGGGCTTGTTGTCTACGAAAACTTGGAGGGAAACCGACCAGATGATAGCAATTTTCCCTTTTATGTCCTTTACGATGACAGTGAGAACACTCCTCCTGCGACCTGCCTCGTCCTCTTCCCCTTCCTTGGCGTCCTCCTCGTGCAACCATGGTAGCACCCTCAGTTGGATGAGCAGGAGTGGAATAGGAAATTAGTTGGTGGGATTCATCTTGGCAGATTAAGGAATACGCTTGATTTACAGTGGGAAGTGGAGATTGTAACAGTATTTGAGTCTTGGCGTGATGGTAATTATCATTCAATCCAGAAAGAAATTGCAGAAGCCTCTGTTGCTGCACTAATTTGGCATACTCTTGTGTGGTGGGACACTGACAGGTTGGAAGAGGTGCCAGGGAATCATACTCGTCCCATAAGTCCCGTAGCTTTGTAAAATACTCAGGGATACTTAATGCACCTTGTTTTAACGAAGTAATAGCCTTATGAATGGAGAATATTCTTACCCCATCGGCTTTGTGAAATCGTTCCTTCAGGTCTAACCATACCGAACGTGCACTCGAAGAAAAAACAATCCCAGTGGCAAGTTGTCTATCAACCGAATTGACAAGCCAAGAAAGAACGATCGCATTACAACGATCCCACAACCCACGAAGTTTCTCATCCTGGTTCTCACGCAAACAGGTTCCATCAATGAGCCCCAGTTTGTTTCTGGCAAAAAGTGCGAGACGCATAGATCGGCTCCACACCTCATAATTCTCTGAACCGCGTAACACTTGCGACACCAATGTAACGGCTTGCGTATCAGATGGATGGAGATACAAGGGATGGGAGAAATCGATGGAAGAAGGAGTAATTGGGTTATCTGCGTCTTTTCCCATGGCTTTAGTTGATCTTGGAAAATTGAAGACAAATTGAGAGGGATTTTAACTATTTGAGAATAAAATTCCGGTCAAGACTGTTGATCGGAGTAATCTTGAGCAATCTTGCAACGGTGGTCAGACGAACAACAATGGGTAATGAAGGAACACCGACGGACAGCACTTTTCTAATCGGTCATACACGATTCTACTAGGGCGTGTCCTTCTAGCAGTTCAGAATCATTTCTGCGTTCTGCTATTAGTGCAGAATCGTTTCAGCGTACCTTCTCTGTGAACAGCAAGGGCTAAACGAAAGAGGAATGGGCTTGTGTGACCCATACGACCTGGCTTCTAGATACCATGAAAAGTTATCTATTTGCTGAATAATGCATTGCTATTATTGCTGTGAGGCCCAGAGGACCATGAAAGACGATGATACAATTAGTGGTGTTTAAACACCTATTTATATACACGTCTTGGGCCAAGGCCCAGTAGCAGAAGGAAAGACTCCTAATTAATCAGACTATGAAACACTAATAATACAAGGAAAAAATGACTTCTCTTAACATGGTTCTTCATATTGTTTGGATTTATCGCTGAAATAGGGATTTGTTTGGGTGCAGGAAATCTAGCTCTTCGGATTTGTCATCAACAGGAATGGAATGAAGGTTCGATGCGCCGGTGTTATGAAGTTTCTGGAGCACGGTGGGAAAGACATCTGGTTAGGCTTCCTTCACGATTTGAGTTATTATCTTTTGTTTTTTCCCCCTTTCTTCTTCTGATATGTCAATGCTTCCTCTTCCCCTCATCGTTTCTGTCTTTCTGACTTTCTGTTGCTTCCTCTTCTCCTCTTCGATTCTGTCTTTCTGACTTTCTGTGGCCTCCTCTCTGTTCTCTCCCGCCTTCCTTTGGCTATTTTCTAAAGCATAGTGATCTTCAAACGGTTATGCTTGCTTCATTGTTTGATTTTTTATCTTCTCCAAAATTTTCTTCTCACGCAAGTTCTGAAAAGGACATATATTAATGTCTTTCAAGGGCTTGCTTTCTTCATTTGAGTTTTCAGATTAGAAAGAACGAAGAAATAAGGATGAACAGGATGAAAGGATGAACAACAATATGAGAGGTGATGGATGCAGGTCTATCTCACCCTGCGTGTCGGTATCTATTCGTCCGCTTCTGCATCTGATAATCTCATAGATTTGAGGGAAAATGATAGATAAAGAAGCTACAAAATGTGAAATGTCAATTTGGGAAGTTAAGAAAATGTAATTATCCATAGGGAAGTCCTTCCCAAATTGGAATTTTGAAATTCAGTAAAATGACAAAAATGCCCTTTATTCTTTTTTTTTAAAAAAAAAAAAACCCAGCCCTTCAACGGTGGCCGGCGACTGGCGACCACTGCCAGCGACTGGCCTCCGGCGGCCGCCGACCGCCTCTGGCCACCGGCACCGGCCACCAGTGTGGTGGCTGTCAATGAAGGATTTTTGTGACAAGATTTTTTTTTTTTTTGGGAATAGGATAATATTGGTTCAAAGTGGCGGGGGTGGGATTTGATCCCACAACCCCTTAGCCACTTGGACTAACAAAAAGATGGCTATTGGGCCATCAAAGATTTCTTAACCTTATAATGCAAACAAAAATATAAGTTAACTCTTTTACTGTGATTCCAACTCGTGACAACAATTTATCTGAGGATGACAAGTCTTAATTGAGAAATAACAAGTCTAAATTTGATATTAACAAAGCAACTTTTCCTTATACATAACAAATAGCAGCATGTGCATTAATTAAAAATTATCATAATTTATTTAAAAATGACACGTCTTTGTTGAAAAATAACAATTTATTCGGTATTTCTTGTTATGTATAAGGAAAAGTTGCCTTGTTAATATCAAATTTAGACTTATCATTTTCCAGTAAAGACATGTTATTTTCAAATAAATTATGGTCATTTTTAATTAACGTAGATGCTATTTCTTGTTATGTATAAGGAAAAGTTGTCTTGTCAATATCAATTTTAAACTTGTCATTTTATAGTAAAGACGTGTCATTTTTAAATAAATTATGATCATTTTTAATTAATGCACATGCTGCTATTTGTTATGTATAAGGAAAAATTGCTTTGTTAATATCAAATTTAGACTTGTTATTTCTCAATTAAGACTTGTCATCCTCAGATAAATTGTTGTCACGAGCTGGAGTCACAGTAAAAGAGTTAACATATATTTTTGCTTGTATTATAAAGTTAAGAAATCTTTGATAGCCCAATGGTCATCTTCCCTTTTGTTGGTCCAAGTGGCCAAGGGGTTGTGGGATCAAATCTCACTCTCGTCACTTTGAACCAATATTATCCCATTCAAAAAAAAAAATCTTGTCACAAAAATACTTCACCGGCAGCCACCACACCGATGGCCGGCGCCGGTGGCCAGAGGCGGTCGGCGGTCGCCGGCAGTGGTCGCTGGCCACCGGTGAGGAGCTGGGTTTTTTTTTTTAAAAAAAAAAAGAACAAAGAGCATTTTTGTCATTTCACTGAATTTCAAAATTCCAATTTGGAAAGGACTTCCCTATGGGTAATTACATTTCCTTAGCTTTCCAAATTGGCATTTCACATTTTGGAGCTTCTTTATCTGTCATTTTCCTTAGCTTTTATTGATGAGCTATAAAATCCTCTCCCTTGTATATTTTTTTAAGTGGTAAATGAATTTCATTCCTTAAGAAAACGCAAGTGGAGAATTTATGTTCTTCCACTTTATTATTTGATTCAGATTTTTCTTTTCTTGGTTTCTGGACTATGTCATTCAGCTGGGTTGAAGATGAATTATTATGGTCTTATTTTTTTTTAAGACGATTTAAAAACGGATTTAACGGTTTCACTAGCTTACTACCAAAGCTTTTCTTCAATCTGTTTGTGGTTTGTCTCGAATTTGTTTGTTCTTAGTGTAAATGAGTTCTTGTGATTTTGTCATTATGTGGAGCTTTGACATTTTTCTCCTTGTTTCTTTATATTCAGGGGGGAAATGTCAATTTGACTTGTATGGAAATTAAAGAATTTGCAACTTCAAAATTGCTGCTTAATCTAATGTGTATTCAAATTTAATTCGATAAGGTCACATGCTTTGGCTGTACGCTGAAGCTCCTTTTATGTATAGGGTACGTGATACACAAACAGACAAATCATATATTAATTTGCATTGGGCAGGGTGCTGGATACTTTTCAAGAAAAGGGCTTACATTTAATTGAAAAGTGCTTACATTTAAAGTGTGTCAGTTTAGTTACTTTATAGATTAGGTTGATATGATTAAATGCTTTGATGGATATTCTTATGTTGGACTGATTAAGTTCACAAGAATATTTGTAGTTCACTAACTTCTCTTGTATAAACGAATATTACATATACGAGTAATAATGTATGATTTCTTGAATGTGAACAGTGAAAAATTATCAACAAGGAACATATCTGTAGTGTAGAAGATAAAGAAAATGGGTTAGAATATGTGACTAATAATGTTCAATGCAACATAAATATTTTTAAATGATGTCATGGTAAATTATATCTTAATATTCATCAAGGGTGTGCCTTCACCCCCAACTTCAATACAAGAGAAGTTAATCTTTGTATCTCACATCAGAGTCAATAGATTCTCATCTATTCTAGATATTTTCAATATTTATAAGTTATTAACATTTCCATCTATTGTACTTGTATATTTGCATCCAGCGGCTTTATGTTTGGGTAGGAGCATTCAATGTCCTTGTCTGCATTCAATGTCCTTTGCTTCAGAATACTGAATTTGTTCCCTTTCTCTCAGTATTGAACTGAACTATCCCTCAAAGGAACCAAATAGTTTATCCATGAATTGAACAAGTCAAATCGGCTATTTAATTATGTCAGAGTTATGACAAGGAAGTTTCAAGGAGCAGTAGCATAGGGTATGACAGTGGTTTTATACATGAACATCATCATATATGCATATAATGGAGATGCTAAGTATCCTGGAGTCTACTTTTGTGCCTGTTTGGAATCACTTTTTATGAGCTTAAAGTGAGCTTAAATTATAAAATAAGCTAGATTGCAACTGAGGCCTGTTTGGTTTCACTTATACGTGATTGGGCTTATGGAAAAAGCCCCTGATGAAACGCTCGATTCTCATAAGCTCAAGAAAGGAGCTTATTGCTTAGCCCAGAAGAGCTTCTCGCGGGGAAAAAAAAAAGGGTGTCAGATGCTCAGTTGTCTTTTTCCTCTCCCATTTTCATTTCCGGGTCTCCGTCTCACACAACTCGTCTTTTTCCTCTCCCATTTTCGTGCCTGTTCCTTTTTTCCTCTCCCATTCTCTCTTGCCGCTGTGAGCTGAAGGTCCCTCTCTGGTCGCCGTGAGCACCGTCGTGCGCTTCGAGTCGTGGGTGTGAGGTGTCCGTGGTCAGCTGGAGGTGCTTCTTCCTTGCAAGTCCGAGCTGGTCCCACCGTCTACAACCGAGGTCGCCGCCGTCTGCCTGTGGTTTCGAGCTGTGCGTCCGAGCTGTGCGTCGATCTTGTCTTGCGAGTCTGATACACGGTGGGATCTATCTCTAGCTGCCTTCGATTCGGTTGATCTGTTATAGGTTGGTGATTACAATTTTTTCTTTCTTTTCTGGTTTGATTCTTGGTCGGATTTGCTATCGCCGGTGGAAGTGAAGAGTTCTCCGTCGCCGGTGTTCGGTTTATGATTTTTTCGGTCTGGTTTATTGCGGTGCTCTGTTTCTGTCGCCGGTGGAAGTCAAGTGTTCTCCGTCGCCGGTGATTTTTTTGGTCGATTTATGATAATTGATTTGTTTTCCTTCTAGTTGTCCGACGGCTTGCTGGTGGTTTTGTGAATTAACGGGGAGCAAAACGTAGATGGTGTATACGTGATGAATCATTTTTTTTTTTGGTGAAAACGTGGTGATCATTCTGGATATTGTATAAGTGCGCATGAGCTTGTGTATATGTGTATATCAGAGTGTTATACTGATTATTGGGTTGCAATGGTCCAGGAATTTTGAA